AGCTGCTTGGCCATGGAAACCCATTCCATGAAGCTCTCTATGCACTGTTGTTGTGCTAATCTGAAGGCCACACAAAGTTTGGAGGTCTTTAGCTATTGACTCTGCAGACAGTTGGCGACTTCTGTGCACTTCCACTAACAGTTGGCCGTGGAATATTTAGTAGCAAGGAAATTTCATGGATGGACCTATTGCACAGATGGCAACCTATACTATTCTTGAATTCACTGAGCTCCTGAGAACGACCCATTCTTTCACAAATGTTTGTAGAAGCAGTCCGCATGCCTAGGTGCTTGATTTTATACACCTGTGGCCATGGAAGTGATTGGAACACCTGAATCCAATGATTTGGAGGGGGGGGGGGGGCAATACCTTTGGCAATATAGTATATATCCTAGTTTGCTACCAAATAAAAACCCAGCCTGTCTCTAAAAAAAGATGTATGATATGCTAAGGTAGATTACAAATACTAAAAGATATAACATGCAGAAGCAAGATATCACCAAAACCATTCAAAAATACTTGCACTCAAGGAGGTTTATCGAGAAAAGGGCCTTTGAACTCAAGTGGTGATTAAGATCAAACCTGCCCAAGATAAGAACCCAAATAATTCCAGTTCTATGGACGATTGACAGTACTGACAACTAGGGACATACACCTATTAGCTATTATATTAAACCAACCCACTATAACCTGTTGATGAATTGATGCCACTAGACCTCTAAAGGTATACTGTGGTATCTTTCACTATGCTGTCAGTAGCAGATCCTTTAAAGCAGCATTCTATTTTTTTTTACTAAAATAACAAATATGGCATACTTACCTGCTCTGTGTAATGGTATTGCTCCTAGATTGTAAGCTCCAAGGAGCAGGGCCCTCGAACCACCGTGTATTGAATCGTATTGTTACTGTACTGTCTCCCATTATAATGTACAGCGCTGAGCAAACTGTTGGCGCTATATAAAATCCTGTATAATAATAATAATTGCACAGAGCAGCCTGGATCTTCCTCTTCTGGAGTCTGCCGCCGATGCTTCAGGCTTCTCCTCTTCAGCGGATGCTCCCATGGAAAGCTGATTTCCATGGGGCACCCGTGTAAGTTTGCTCCAGAGCCGCCCTGTCTGTGTCCATTGACACAGAGCGGGTGGCTCGGCCCTACCCCCGCTGGCTCGGCACATCATGGAGCCAAACAATCTTTCCAGGGAGGAGGGAGACAGCGGCAAGAGCCTCTGCTCTCGTGCACATCGCTGGTTTGGATCAGACTCAGGTAGGTATAAGGGGGGGCTGGAGGGGATCCTGCAGCACAGAAGGTTCTTCACTTTAATGTATAGAATGTATTGTGAAAAACCTTAAAGCTTTAGAACCACTATAAGTCCTGTAAATTGCAATGTAGGGCCTTCATGGATCGGACTTGTTTTTCCAGCACATCCCACCTTCTTTTCATTTCTCCATGGTCCAGTTTTTGATGCTCACATGCCCATTGTAGATGCTCTTGGATGAGGACATGGGTCAGCATGGGCACCCCATGTGATGTGCAGTAACATAGCCCCATATGCAACAAACATGCACTGTGTGTTCTGACACCTTTCTACTGGAACCAGCATGAACTTTTTCAGAATTTGAGTAACAGTAGCTCCTCTATTGGGTCAGACTACACGGGCCAGCCTTTGCTCCCCACATGCTTCAATGACCCTTGGATGTTCATGACCCTGATTTTTCTTCTTTGGACCACTTTTGGTCAGTCCTGACCACTGCTGACCAGAACATCCCACAAGAGTTGCAGTGTTGGAGTTGCTCTGACCCAGTCATCTAGTCGTTACATTACATTGGCCCTCGTTGTGGCCATACATTGGCCCTCATTATGGCCATACATAAGTCTTTTTTTTTTTTGTTCAACCAGCTGGTTGAAGGAAAAAAAGACGATCCATCCATGTGGATTGGCTATCCCCCAAACACACACCCACTATTGTATTCTGACAGTGGGGAGACTTGCCTGCTACCAGAATACACTGATCAGCACTGCCAGCTATAGCCAGCGGCACTGATCAAGTAAAAATGTTCCAACAGGTTGGTAGTACACACGTCAGTTGATAGATTGGCTTGTGTACAACCAGCCTACCCGTACATGGAGCAAAATATGCCTGGTCCCCGCTGAACCACCTGAATTTTAAAACATGCATGGCCAGCTTTGCTCTTACCCACTTTTTTTGTTTTCAGTTTCAGGGACTACCTGTTCACTTGTTGCCTAATATATCCCACCCCCTTCCAGATGCCATTGTAATAACATAGCAATGTTATTCATGTTACCTGACAGCAGTCATCCAGTTATGGCTGAACAGTGTAAAATATGTCAGGTGAACGCCAACCCCAATATCCAGCCCCTTAACACGAGGAGCACTTTTCTCAACACCCACAATACAATACAATAGGAATACTTTCTAATGAAAGCCAGCCATTACTTGTGTCTCTCAGTTCACTGCATGGCTGGAGCATCGAAATATTTCAACGCATTAAACATAACCGTGTTACGTCCATTATCTGTGGTGAGGTAAACGAAAGTGAAAGCCCGCGGCATCCCCACACCCAGTTCAGTGACGTCACGGGTGTACTGAGGCGGGAAAAAACGAACGAATTCGTTGCGAGGAAGTGGAACATTTGTACAAAATACAAGCAGCGCGAGGGATAAACATCAGTGATGATAAATACGGAGAATATACGCAGCCGCGGGATTAGATTTATTGTACATGACATTCGGTACTATCACTGTGCACCGGAAACAAACATGGATACATACTCGTGGCATAGCTACAGTAGATTCAGTAACAAAGATGTTTTAAATATAAAAACACCTAAGAAAGCCGCACAATTTGATCAAAACACTGGTCACATGTGCAGTAGACGGGAAGATGAGGAGCGTATATTTCCCAACTAGACGCAGGCGCGGTGGCCAAGTGGTAAGGCGTCGGTCTCGTAAACCGAAGATCACGGGTTCGAACCCCGTCCGTGCCTACACAGGTACTTTTTAATACATTACAATACATTATTAAAGTCTTTTTCTACTTACTAATCTAATCTGTCAACTGACTTTTGAAATCAAGTTATGAAGTAGTCAGCAGCAGAATCAAAGGCAAATACTGTAAATGTATACAGGTAGATTATTTGTTACATTTCTAAAATATATTGGAAGCATTTTTTTTTTTTTCCATTGTGGGAGGATTTATTAATGCTGCTTCACCACCTTTTCTGGCCTTACATCCCGGTCACTCCGATCCCGAATTTGAAATTGTGCGACTTACAGTGAAGTCACATAATTTCAAAGTCGAATGACATGCCGATTTGAGATTTGCAGGACATCTGACAGAGATGTCTATGCAAATCGCACCATAAGTAATGCATATACTACTTTAGAAATCGGTGCAGATCCAACCAATCAGAACCGCACCGATATGACCGCTTTAATTGCAGACAATAGGGTATGACTTGTCATGTGATTAGCAAGTTGTATGGCATGCAATGCAATTCAATGTGATCGACGTATAATGCAGGCCATAGACGGGTCGAAAACCGGATGTTGTATAAAAAAAAAAAAAAATCAGTTGTTCAATAGGCCGACGTTACCACCAATGGTAAAAAAAATTGGCCGATTTTCGTCCTGTGTATGGCCAGCATTTAATTACTTCTGTCCCTGGGGAGAGCTCTGATATTATATTTGACATGAAAAAGTATTGCGGTTGTAACAATGTATCTATTTGTATCCATTCGGATACAGATGGTTTTATTCGGATACAAACAGATACATTGTTGCAACTGCAATATTTTTTCATGTCAAATATAATAGCGGACTGGAATTCTTCTTCTTCTTTTTTTCTTCTTTTTATTATTATTCTTCTTCTTTTTCTTCTTCTTGCAGGCCACGGCTCATGTGCAGATTTTTTATCGATAAAAAGATCGACCGATTTGCCCATCATTGCCGGGAAAAAATCAGCTGATCGGCAAAATCGGCTGATTTTTTTCCAACTTCACCGATAAAAAAAATGTGACAAAACCCTGAAAAACAGCCCACCAATTAACCCATTAACGGTGTGAAAATTGGCCGATTTTCTACCCATCTATGGTCTGCATTAATCCCTCTTTCATGAAGCATCTTTAACACTTTTGTTTCCGAGAGCGACTTGTGCACCAATCCAGGTAGTTCTAAAATGTGCTGCTTTTCCATTGTGGCACCATAAATGTGCCAAATTCAAAATAAAATACCGACAATTTGTATCTTATGAAAGTGGCGCTAATTAAGACCAGCTCTCTTTTAGCGTACAGAAAGATCCTTGCACAGACAGATTTTGCTAAAGTGTCTCACGTGTGTACAAATTGAAGTACAGGTACATGAATCTGGTGAACGCAGCACCACATTTAGGCTTTATGTCCACGGGGCATTAAAAACGCCACTTTCACGTTTTTTTTTTTTTTTTTCCGCCAGGTGTTTACAGGCATTTAGAGGCTGAAGAAAAAAAACAGCCAGTGTGTTCGGGAGAGGAACATTTTGCCACAAAAAATAAAACTTGAGTGCCTAAACGCTTGTAAATGCATCTAAGTGTTTTAGCAGTAGGTGTGTTTAGCGCTTGGGCATACATCCACACAAATGACCAGAATAAACAAATATTCTGGCCAATAAAATGAATAAACACACAACGTACCTAAATGTGCTTTAACTCTGCTTTTACCTCCCCTTTCTGTGGCTGATTAAGGTGGTGATTTAATTCACTTAATGCCTTAACATTGCATTAACCAAGCCTCAGAACCTGTGTAATTTAATTAATGTGTTTGATTTTAAAGGGATGAGGTGGCAATCCTAGTGTACACTGGCAGTAAAAATAGGCAGCTGAGCTGCAGTTTTATCCCCACCAGATTGCTTTAAAGGCATAGCTCATCTTTACCAGAAATACAGCTCTGCAGATAAGGGGTGTCTGTAGACAACAACAAACCATATAGCTTTGACCTGATGAGGTGGCACTGATGAGGCGGCACTGTTGTGCATTGATGAAGCTGCACTGATATGCAGTAATGTTGGATACTGATAGGCAGCACTGACTGGTGGCACTGACGAGCGACACTGATGGGTGGCACTGATAATCAGTGCCCTGATTATTAGTGCAGATCTGCTCTGTGACATTTGCCGGTTACAGCGTGAGGAAAGTGCTGCCGGCAACTGTATTTACTTTGTGATCTGCTGTGTCATTGGACACAGCTGGTCACGTGGTAAAAGGCTGCTGTGATTGGCTTTTTACCTTGTCATGTGATCAGCTGTGGGAACATCCATGGACACCCACCCAGAACTGGACAACAGCACTGTAGCCATCTTTTGGCTATAGTGCGATTGGCAAGCTGTTAAATAGAAGCGTTTTCCAATACCATTTCTGGATCTGCCATCCCAATGTGCTTAAGGCTACGTTCACACTAGCCTTGTGTGCAGGCGGCAGAGAGGCGTTTGGGAAGCGTTTTTACCGCTTCCCAAATGCCTCTGCCAACTCTGCACATTACAGCACATGGTGCTGTTCTAACAGGAGCGTTTGCGTCGCGTCGCGTTGCGTCGTGGCAAAACGGACGCCTCTGGTCGAGTCAGGAGGCTTTGAAGCCTCCTATTCTCGTCTATGGTGCCGCTCCCGCAAACGCCCGGGCCGGCGTTTGCGGTGCGGTTGCGGGGCGTTTGCGGAGCGGGTAACACCACTCAAATGCATTATAGGCGTTTGTGGGGCGTTATTAACGCTCGGCAAACGCCTAGCAACCGCCGCTAAACCGCGCATGCCAAACGCTATAGGGGCGTTTTGGCAAGCGTTGGCAAAACAGCCTAGTGTGAACGAGCCCTAACTCTCACTTACCTTATCCACCGGAGGTTTCAAATCTTTGTCAGTTTATTTAAATTTTTTAACTGATTTTCAGATTCCATAATTTCCTGTAGATCATCTCTGTGACATTTGCTGGATATCGGCAGTACATTTCTCATGCTGTGACAGCGTGAGGAAAGTGCTGCCGATACGGCAACTGTATTTACTTTGTGATCAGCTGTGTCATTGGACACAGCTGATCACTTAGTAAAAGGCCTCTGTGATTGGCCTATTATCTAGTCATGTGATCAGCTGTGTCTGTAGGACACATTGATCACCGACAGTTCTGAATAACCGTCGCTGGGAGTGCGTTCTTCGAGGACATCATATGATGCCCTCCCAGAACTGGACAACCCTGCTGTAGCTGTCTTTCGGCTTTAGCATGGTTATAAAGTGGTTAATGAAGGTTCAGTTTCAGGATTTCTGGAGACAGAGGTAGCAGAAGAACTGGCTTGGATGAAGCAATGGCTCCAGATAGCATTCATCTAAGAGTTCTAAGAGAAATTTGAAGTTTAGGTTTTGGACCATTAACTGATCTTTTAACCACTTGGCCTCCAGAGGATTTACCCCCCTTCCTGACCAGGCCATTTTTTGCATTACAGCGCTGCGTTACTTTAACTGACAATTGCGTGGTCATGCAACGCTGCACCTAAATTAAATTTACGTCCTTTTTTTTCCCATGAATAGAGCTCTGGTATTTGATCACCTGTATGTTTTTAATTTTTTACACTATAAAAAAAAAAGACCAACAATTTTGAGAAATTTTTTTTTTTGACTTTTTGCTATTAAACATGTCCAGTATAAAATAAAAAAATAAAATTTTGTCATAAATTTAGGCCAAAATGTATTCTGCTACATACCTGTGCTAAAAAAAATCCCAATACATGTAAATTAATTGGTTTATGTAAACCACGGTTCCAAATGGAGGTATGTATACTGGAATTTATTTTTTATTTTTACTACTAATGGTGGCAATCAGCGACTTATAGCGGGACTGTGATGGGCATTCTGACACTGGGGGGAACTGACTTGGTGTCACTGACCTCCCCAGTGACACCAATCCAGTGATCAGTGCTAAAAAAAAGCACTGACAGTGTACTAATGGCAGTGGGCAGGAAGGGGTTAACATGTGGGGAGATCAGAGGGTTAACTGTGTGTTTTATGTGTTTTACAGTGTGCTGTGTGTGTGCATCACTGTAAACACACTGCTATGCATGGCTCTGCTATGCAAAGCCATGCATAGCTGTGTGCAGAAGCTGACAGGGGAGAGAACTATTTTGTTTACTTACAGTTCTCTCCCTCCATTGGTAATCCTACTCGATCACTGGGTGCTAATAGCGGTGCAGGTAGTGCGCGCCCGAGCCCCCTACCCAGAAATACAAAATCACGTATATATATGTGATTTTGCGCACCTGTGCCGCCCTGTAGCAGTGTATCTTCTATGGGGCGGTGGGAAAGTGGTTAATTCAATCTCTTCTAACGGGAGAAGGTTAGCACGAGACCAGGGGCGGACTGACAAGTCATGGGGCCCCCGGGCAATAGGGGATCATGGGGCCCCTGTGTCCTTGCCCAAACTAAAAAAAGCCAATGAAAAATGTACCAGGGGCATCTCATGGGGCCCCCTACTGACTACGGGCCCTCGGGCAGTGCCCGAGTTTCCAAATGGTCAGTCCATCCCTACACGAGACTGGCAGACAGCTAATATTGTACCTATTCAAAAAAATGATAAAAAAGGAAGAAGCAGGCAACTACAGGCCAATGGCTTTAACTTACATTATAGCTAAATTAATAGAATTGTTCATAAAGAAAAGGATCATTGATAATTAAAAAACACACAGCTTGCTGGGCCCAAAGCAGCATGTCAGATTATTCAGATTTAATTCTTGGGCTTCCTTCCTTGTGGCTTAAGGGCAGTTTAAGGGCTCATGTACGTGGCCGACTAGTTCATTTGAATTTTGCACCATTAGTGGGTCATAGAAACGGCCGATTTTCGTGTGACCATTGAATTTGAGTGATTGGGCATGTTGGAAATTTTTTGAAAAACAAACGAATCTTGAATCAATCATGAGAGAATCGTGCAAGAAATATAAAGCTGTGACCTGGAAAGAAAATAAAATTCTTGGCCACGAAAATTCTTTTCTATAGCAACATGAGGAGAAATTGAAGGCTTGGTTGGTTGAATTTCAAAATCAATGGTGGTGCCATCGGATTACAAAACGCACAAAATTTCCAATTTTCTAAAGAAAATTTGTTCGGAATTCGACCCATGTATGGCCTGCATAGGGCTGTGCACCACCCAGTTCAGTGTTTTTTTCTGCAGCCTGGTGTTTCTGATCAGCTTAGGGTAGGATCCCTGGACAAATCAATGACAGGCTGATACTGTCTGTGGCTGTTTCCACGTAATCACACATAAGTAATTACCTGCATACGGGGGCAGATGTAACTCCTGGACATGAACGGTCCTCAAACGCATATCTGTCCCTAACCAATGTTAGCCTTCCATTGCTTTGTCCAGGTTTTCTGCCTGCGGCTGATCTAAAACACCTGTCCATACCAGCCACATAAATATGCTGAACTGAGCAGTGTATATTCCTAATTGGCCATGTGCCTATAAAAGCAGCGTGATAGCAAAAGAGAGGTGAATATATGCTGCTGGTGAGAGCACTCCGCATTGGAAAAGAGCAGGTTCACTTTAAATTTATACAGGCTTCAGTAATCAGAAATGAAAAATGAATAGTTCTGACGCCTTTAATTTAATCTGATATGATAGTTGGCCATGGACTGGCAGATATCTCACCAAACATGAGAAGTAGAGAAATATCTGCTCATACTCAAGTTGTGTTAGTGATTGGACCTGCTATGGTACTGACAGCAGCCAAGGTGAACCTTTCCTCTGGTCCATAGCTTTGTTTTTCTTAACTGGTAAAGATTCTTTAAGTATTGGTCTCCATAACAATCGTGGTTTCTCAAACTTACTAGGACTCCGGTGTCCACGCAGCACATTTAGATGGATTTTTCAATGAGCCTGGTTTCACATATATGCGGTGCGGTACATCGCATGTAATTTGCACAGGAACTGCACCGCATTCCTGTGCAAATCACATGCGATGTGTGTGCGATGCGATTGGAGTGATTTATTTTGTATGGATCTAATTGCACCGCACCCACACCAAAAACGTGCAGGACCTTTTTTCTGGTCCACACTAGAATTGGATCGCATGATTATTGATACCTATGCGATCCGATTCTGCACATCGCACCGCGTTTTGCGGACCGATTTCGGGGTGTTGTTAACTTAACATACACACCCGCATCGGTTTGCATGAACGGGGTGCGATTCTGATACAGAAAACGCTGCGAATTCCAGACTGCATCAGTGTGAACCCGGGCTCAAATTGAACAATGGCCCAAGGAAGGATGGTTCAGTTTGCACTACACCTTCATAAAGGCAGTAAAGAGGTCTTTTGTTTACTGCTGATCAGGGGCGAACTGACAACTCATGGGGCCCCCGGGCAATAGGGGATCATGGGGACCCTGTGTCCTTGCCCAAACTCAAAAAAGCCTATGAAGAGAGGGAGGAGCCTGACTATAGCGGTGAAGGAGAGCTTGACGTGAGAGCTCTCCGGTAGACAGCTGCCTACACTGCAAGTGTCCTGCCAAGGCTGCCAAATAATGCCCGCAAAGTGACTGGACACCTACCTGTGAGAGGGGGGGTTTGGAGGCACAGCCAGAGCTGCGGAGTGTGGAGGATGTGGGAAAAGCCGGCTGGAGAGGTGGACAGAGTGCCTGACATCCACCTCAGAGGGACGGCTGCAGTCCCCGTCCAGAGCGGTGGGGAGTCTGGAGGAAGCGGAGGCGACCATGTGACCTCCCGCAAGGAAGTACTGGGAGGAGAAGCCGGCTGGCAACTACAGATGGAGGAAGACGCCGGCACCCTCCTCGGGCAAAAGGGGCTTGTGTCAGGGCAGGGCTGTGGAACGGACAGGTAGGCCTAGTGGCAGGGTAACGCACTGGCTGACGACAACCACCACCAACAGACCGAAGTCCCTCAGGGCGCAGAGTCTAAGTCCCAGGCTGCCCTTCACCAGGGCCCCTGATGGTGGGGATGGACTTGACGCAGCCAGGAACCAGGTCGCGACCCCCGAGACACCCCGACAGTGGTAAAGGCCGCCGCCAATGGCGTGTAGCTGGTGAGAATGACAATAGCGTAGTCAGGCAAGCCGGGTCGACAACAACGGGACAGAACGGTACAGAACAGTAGACAAAGAATCACAGGTCACGGGCCGGGTTCAGCAACGGAAGGTCAGATCGAAGGAAAACACAGAGAATGGTCTTAGTCACAAGCCGAGTCAGATACCAGAGGAGTCACGAGCGCATACACAGAGCTGTAGCAAGACAAAGACACAAGACACAAGTGCAAAGAGCATGTGCGGATCACAGGCTTATATGTACTCAGCCACACCCCTCTGGGGGATGGACCTCAGAGACCTGAAGGCATAAAAGATTCCCACCATGCTCAGCAGAAATCCAAGATGGATGCCAGCACATGGAGTAACATAACCTCTGGGAAAAGGTAGGACCTTGACAGCTTGTATGTGATCCCCTATCCATACAGACACATACAGGACCGAGAAAGTAAAGGACCCTGTGGGGAGAGTCGCCTATTAAACAAGAAGAGCGGCATTCTAAGTAAAGGGGCTGTGGGGAATCACAGCCCCCAGAGGGAAGAGCCAGACGCCGGTCCAAACAAGTGAGAAGACAACAGGAGGGTGAGTGGAACTGTATGGAAAGGAGCTGAACTGTAGTGTGAAATTTGGGGGGGAGACTATCCAGGGGGTCCAGGAGAAAAAGAGGACAAAAATCATTATAGCACAAGACCCATAGAAGTGGGCAGAGGAAAATCTAAAGTGACAAGCGGTGGGACAATAAAGGAAGAGGAAATTCCCCCCCCCCCAGAACTTGGATAAGGGAATTAAGTTTTTACAGCGGCATGAAAAAAAAAGTGGCCAAAGGAAGTGGGCCCAAGGGTTCCCTAACAGGTACAATTAAAAAATATATACCCTCACAGAGGAATTTGACCCCAGAAAGACAACAAAGAATAAGTGAAAGGAGTGAGCTGGAAATCAGTGTGGAAGACAGTCCTAGACTATCCCTGGGAATGGCTAAGAGTGGTCAACAAGTGAAAGAAAGAGTGGAGGTGGGAGAACAAGAAAGCGACCTACAGATGCCAAATAAAAAAGAAATAGCAGAAATGTTTAAAGGTCTTGAAAAATCAATAAAACAAGAGATGGTGATAATACAGAAAGACCTGGGGCAAATGTTAACAAGAGTGGAAGAGACGGAGGGAAGAGTGAATAAAATGCCCAAAATATTCTGAAATTAGAAAAATGGACGATAGAAACGAGAAAAGAACAAAGAAAGCTGCTATATAAAATAGAGGATCAAGAAAACAGGGATAGGAGAAGTAATCTAAGGATTCGAGGAATACCAGAGATTTCACATGGAGAAGATCTAATGGGTATAATATGTAAAATGTTGAACACTATAATGGATAGATCTGCATCAGAGACTCTTAAACTGGACGGTGTATATAGAATAGGAAGGCCCCAACAAGAAAAGGGTAAATAAAGGCCGAGAGATATAATTGTACAATTCCATAATTATGTGGATAGAGAAGAGATATGGAAGAAGATCAAAGGAAGAACAGTAATCAAATATGGAGAAATAAATATTCAGATTTTTGCTGATTTGGCTGCAGAGACATTGACAAGAAGGAGATCCTTGAGACCATTGTTGGAGCAGATGAGGAAGCTAAATGTGCAATATAGATGAGGCTTTCCGGCGTGTTTAATAGGATGGAAAAATGGATGTACAGCAAGACTGAGATTTCCTGAAGAGATGAGAGACTTTTGTGAGAGACTGGATCTGCAGAGAATAGAGATACCTGGGTGGGGAGGAAGAGGAAAAAGAGATAGGGGCTATTGGAAAAGAGGACTGGCAGGTAGCTAGAAGAAAAAATTAGCAAGTGGGGGGGGGGGGGGGGGGGGAGAGAGGTTTTTTTTTTCTCTACCCGCCCCTCTTTCTCTCTCCCTTCAGCCCTCCCACTCTGGTGGATGGCTGGAGACTTATCTATGGATATAGAGAATGGCATGGCATGGAGGAGGATAAGTAGCTGGTGAATCGTACATAGTCGGAGTACCTCCTTAAAGTCGAATTAGTGAAAGATATCGGTGAGGGGATAGACCAGAAAAATATTTAATGAGAGCCCAAAGAAAAAAGAAAGGTAATAATTATATAGAGAAAGTAAGAGATAATAAAAGAGAACTAAAATACTCTACCAAAAATATTGCAAAAGTGTTTAAAGATTATTATAGTAAGTTATATAATATCAATCCTCAGCAGTCCATAAGAGAAGAGGAAGAAAGAACTAAAAAAAGACAGACATACAAGAGAGGTTACCGAAATTGAGAGAAGATCAGTTAATATCCCTTGAGATACCAATATCAGCAGAAGAAATACAATGTGCATTGAAGAGTACTATGGCAGGGAAAAGTCCGGGACCGGCTGGGTATACTGTGAGATACTATAAGAAATTTAAAGAACAATTAATACCTAAATTGAGTTTATATATGAATACACTGGGAGGGGAGATGGAAATGAGAGAGGAATCCTTACAAGTGCATATTACAATAATACCAAAAGAA